GGCGGGCGGGCGGAGAAAGCGCTGTTCTCTGGCCTGGCTCTCGGGATGAGGTAAAATTTCCCGGCTTCTCACCCCCCGCAGGTCAGCTGGAGCTAGAGGAAGCTGTGGGTAACCTCACCCGCAGTGGTCCCGGTCACCGTAATTTCAGCTCTGAATAGCATTTTAAATACTAGAAAACTTCATACAAATTTTTGAAAAGGTGGTGCTGCCGGTTTTGTTTGCAACAGAACTGCTCCTGTAAGAATGTAGCCATTGAGCAGTAACATGCATTTTCTCTTTCTTGTTTTTTTACAATAGAGTTACAGTCCAGGGACCTCGAAAGAGAAGAGTGATTTAGGTAAGCCTGTCATTTAGCCATCTGCAAAGTGTCTTCCTGTATTTAAATTGAAAATTGCCAGCTACAGCCAGCAAACTGGAAAACATTGACGTGGGATAGCCAAAAGCAACCTGAAATGTATGAATTGGACATGGTTATGAATCGACATTAATATTGATTACTTCAACAGGATTTGGTTGCATTTCTCTCTTAAAAATAAGAGCTCAGAAGTGTTTTGATGAATCAGTGTGTATACCTTATAAGTGCAAAACGTTAGACCCTTTTTACAGGCAGGTAGCATACCCTGGAGGAAAGTTTGAATAAACTCATACAAATTGTTTTACACTAATTAACATAACTGCTGCCTATAGTACTGCTGACATCTGCCAGGAGAGGGCTGTATAGCCGTAGTGATAATATAAAAACTGCCCCACTCTTTGCCATTATTCTTGTACCCTAAAAAAAGTGGTTTAAAAAGCCCTTCTGAATTCATAAGTTCCTTACAAAGAAAGAACTTGCTTGTGGGCTTGAAGTGCAGACCAAAGAAGAGCCACAGAATTAAAGACAAAGCTCAGCATAAGATCTCTGTGGCACGGTTAAATGAACGTATCGGCAAGTGTTCCTCTGCAGGTGTGGCTGTGGGTTGCTGTCTCTGCAAAGGCCTGCGGTACTCACCCTTGGACCTTGCTGGAAATCAGTAACAAAATGCTAAGAATGCCCTGGAGAGGGCAGAGGCCAGCTTCAGCCCTCTCAGCAAAACAAGTTCAGAGGGGGAGATGTGGTGTTTTTTGCTTTTACAAGCATTTTGAAGCCCTGATTATGGTGTGGCTTTTCACATTTGCTTTCTCAGCTGGAGTTTTAGTGGCAAATGCAGCACAGCATCACAGTGGCACTGCAGCCAGTTAATAAAGCTCTGAACAGCATCTGTTTCAAAGACGTTCCTCTCATACTTGTCTGCTCCTTTTTCTTCCTTCTCACCATTTATACTCAGCCCATTCAGTTGTGCTGCTGCATCAGTCTTTGAGGTTGGTGCTCTAAATCAAATTAAGTTTTGTGATGTGGCTTGGTTTTTTTTTAATTCGGATTATGTCACTGATTCGTTTAAGAATATGTCCCTGACAATGGTTGTGTCAGCCTAACAGTGGGGAGAATAAACAGTAGGAAAGAGAGAGAGAGAAGAACAAGGAGACACATCTTAACCAAGCTTCCTCCTCAGGTAAACAGTAAGGCAAACCCAAACACTCAGGTCACCACAGGCTCAGTGGTATTGTTGTTGTCATCTTTTAGTGCCTTTAGAGGAAGAACAGGGAAAGAGAAGCGATCGGCCACTTCTAAGGAAAAGGTATTTGCCCAAGGGACCTACAGGCTATGTGCTGGTAATCCCTCTGCTGAGAGGACTCTGAGCAGGCTGTTTGGGGGCTCAGGGCATATTTCACCAGGTCTGACATCTGCCAGGTCACAAGAAGATAATCTGGAAGACAGACTGCTTCAGAGGAGGGTGTGTGGTCTCTCTGAGGACACTGATCAGCAGCTGGCCACTCCTGTGTCTGCCCGTGTTCAGTTACGGGAAGGGAGCTGGTTGTTGATTGGAAAGATGAAACTGAAAGTATTCACAGGCTTACAGGAAACAGTGGACAGCATAATACTGACTGTTTCTCAGAATCCAAATATGTTAAGCTGACAGAGTGCACTTGAACTTTTCGCTTTCCTGAAACTCACACTGGTGTGATTCATAAGGCATTGGAAAGAAAGAGGAGAAGGTCTTGAGGAAAGGTGGGAAAGGAGCTACTTAGATGGGGAGGTTAATTTGAACAGAATAATGAACAACACTCGAGGCCTTGGTTTCTTTGCTTAGTTGGGCTTTCTAAGCCTATGAAAAGGGGAGAGAGAAGATCAGACCATGCCAAAAGTATTGGTAAGTAATGACAGAAGGATAAAATTGAGAGCTATAAACCACACTTCTATATAAAAAGCAATGTTTTGACAGTAGTATCTTGGATTTCACTTTATATTATTCTGTATCCTAGGGCCAAGCATGGTAATGGATGAGGGCAGCTTGATAATCCCCATCAATAAAGATGCCTATGAAGTTCTTAAGAAAGGAGAGGACTGTTTAAACAATCTCATTTACAAAAAGTTTGCTTGTACGTTGACCTTCAAAAGTACAAAATGCACCGCTGAAGTATACAGGAAGAAACTAAAGCAGGGAATTGACATTTGTGTTTGTAAGGATGATCTCACAAGACACAGGGCCGATGCTTTGGTGAATGCAGCCAACGAATATCTAGATCATGTAGGAGGCCTTGCTTTAGCCCTTGTGAACGCTGGAGGGCCAGAAATAGCAGAGCAAAGCAATCTTCATATTCAAAGGTATGGAAAACTCACAGTTGGCGAAATAGCAGTAACAGGTGGAGGGATGCTTCCTTGTAAGAAAATTATTCATGCAGTTGGTCCAAGGTGGACCGTTTTTGAAAAGGAAAGATGTTGTGACCTGCTTCAGGAAGCTATCGTGAATGTTCTGAAGTACGTTAGTGCCCCAGAAAATACTATAAAGTCTGTGGCTATCCCAGCAGTGAGTTCAGGTATTTTTGGCTTCCCGCTCAGTTTGTGTGCTCAAGTGATTGTAATGGCTATAAGGGGATTTGTTGAGGCAAGTCCACCCAGCTGTCTCAGGGAAATCCGCCTGGTGAACATTTCTGAGCCTACAGTTGCAGAAATGAAGAAGGCCTGTGAAAAGTTTCTGGGTGATACCAGTTCACTTCAGGAAACTCTTTCAGCTTCACCAAGCCAGCCTTCAGCTTTCATCAAACATGGAGACATTCGCTTGCGCATCATAAGAGGACTCATTGAAGAGCAGAAGGTAAGTCCGTCCCGTAATATGTTGAACATGGAGTTGCCTCCAAGTCTTTGCAGGATTTGGAGCCCAAGAGTTCAGAACACATATTGTATTTGTCCACTAAATAGTTATCTTCTCATCCTGATGAAAATTTACAAATGGTAAATAAATTATAGTGGCAAGGAGTTGGTTTTTTTTCTAAATGGGTATTAAACTTTAGAACATTTTTATATCTTTTTTTGTATACATGCTGTTATGGGATAATAGGAAGCAGCTAAAGATTGGATGATTAATAATAATATATCCCTATGTTAATGTTTATCTTCTTATTATAACATCATGGGAGTTCACATTTTATCATGCATTCCCTAGAAGTCTACTCTTATTTTTTGCCTTGCTTTTTTTCCTATAATTTATGTTCTCATAGGTGTCACTACTGGAGTTATTCAGCAAACTGAATAACTGAAACAGCTGAAAATAACTTATACAGATGATGTGCACCTTACCTTTAAACAGTGCATCATTTAAATTGATTCATTTAACCTTTTAGCTCATCATTTAAATTGATTCAGATAACCTTTTAGCTAGAAAATCTGATGCAAAATACATGAGCTTAGTCATAATAATCCAACAGAGCTCTTAGACTGGAAGCTACATCACAGGAATGGCATTTGCTTTCAGCAAATACTGTATCTTAAAAAAATTCATAACTTTTATTTTAAAGCAATTTCTTAATTGAATAGAAAGTTCATTTTTTTTGAGGTGAAAGCAAAGGATCACAAAGTTGGCAGTGTGGGGAATTTTATTAACCATTTCTACAGGACTGAAAGATACCACATGCCTTCGAGACTATGAGGAAAATACGCTCCAAAGTCTTGTATTTTTAGATAATCTTCAACAATTAAAGTTAGAACGATTACTGCTGTTATCGTCATTCTGTAAACAAGTGGTTTGCGTTTTACATATTTAATTTTAAATACAGAAGACCTACTATGGGAATCTGCTGTTTCCACTGGGAATTGGAAGCAACCATAGGTTTGCAGTTCCCCTGTGTGCACTGACCCCGCTCATCTGGTGACGAGTGCTTGCTACCCTGACGCAGGGAGCATCTGCGTGGGCTGGGATAACAGACATAGCCATAGTTGTCTCCTGCTCATTGATAATTGGCTGCAGAATTCCATTTGATGAGGTGCATATGGGTCACTTCTATAGCTGCGGTAATAATTCTGTTGAATACACTGATGACTTGAACAGGTTTTATGCACACTGTTGGCTTAAAAAAAAAAAAGCATGCATTTACTGCCACTAGAAGGTGCGTACTTTGATGTATTCCAGCGCTGCCCTTAGTAGTAGTAAGAGAACCTTTCAAACAGCTGATCTGCTGCAGCCAGGCTTTTTTAAAGGAATTGTTTCTAGAAAGAGTGCTCTCTATTGTAGCAAAACTTGCAAATAGTAAACTTGAAGTATACTGAAACTTTACACTCTTCTCTTCCAGACTACAGCTGTTGTTAATTCTGTGTCTGTGAATGGCGAGCCTTACTGTCTGGTTTCAAGAGGACTGCTGCAAAAAGCGGGTTCAGGTCTTCAGAATGAACTTCAGTCTTGTCTAAGACATCGTTTGTCTTATGACGAAGTCATAGTAACAAAAGGGTATAATCTGGCCTGTGAGCTTGTACTGCACATTGTATGGCAGCAATACCACCACAGGGTGTTACTGTGTGAGGTGATGATCAGTTAGATTGGATTTTAATTCATTTTCATGTTGAGTGATGTGAGGACTAAAACACTTGTTTTTCCTGCAGGAATTAAAAGCTGCAATGGCAAGATGCCTGTATTACCTTTCAGACTGGCAGTGTCCCTCAGTTTCTTTTCCAGCAAATGGGATTTGGTCGTCAATGCTGTCTGTTGATATAGTGGCAGAGATCATGATTGGCGAGGTTTTAAAGTTTGCCAGGGCACACCCTGAGAAGAAGATGGATGTGCAGTTTGTCGTATGCCCAGATGACTACGATGCCTATCAGGTAGCAAATTTGTTGTTAACTACCAATAAGGAAAACCCAGAACTGTAAAAATATTTCCATAGATGACTACAAATTAAGATAATCTGAATTCCATACTACTTATAACATTTGTGAGCAGCAGGTCCCTTCGTGAAACTATTTGTCTCATTAACAGGTATTATTAATCTTTACAAAACTTTATTTTCTCTTCACTAAAGCTGAAGTCTTCACCCTGTGGTCTGATAGCAAGGGGAGGGAGTTCTGAAATTCCTATGACTATCAGTGAATTTATAAGAAAGAGTCTACTCTTAACTCATTAGGGAATAAGCTTATTCCTCCTCAGGAAATTTTTTTTAACTATTTTTTTGGTATGAAGTTCCTAGGGCAAAACACTATCAACACATTATATGACCTAACATGATACAAGGGTTGCAAACGGACACTGGATAATTTCAACTGCAGTGTGCCATTTTCCACCTTTTGAATATTTGGTCGATGTGATTAATACACAACTGTTTTAGATAGCCATCTATTATAAAAGTACAGAGTTTGCTTTTGTTCCCATTTAACTTCAACCATCCATTCTTTCAACAGGTGCAAGAACTAGGTGGAGGGGGGTTGGAACTAGATTATCTTTAAGGTCCCTTCCAACCCAAACCATTCTATGATTCTAAGATCGGATCCATGTTCTGTAACAGTCCCATAAACTCTAAAGGAAGCTTATGACAGCTATGTGCTCATCACTTAATCCCTTGATAATCAGGGCACAGCAGAAACTCTTTTTGCTGAAAAAAGAAGGAAAGGCAATTTGCCAGATGCCAAATCCACTGCCTAGCGGAGTAGTGCTTCTCAGAGGCTTTCCATGTGTGATCATGAAGAGCAGCTTTGGGGTATAGGCAGCGGAATAGTCTGGGTTTTAAACCTGAGTAAGGATTCATCAGCATTAAACTGCAAGTAATGAACACCTTTATCTACTGTGGTTGCATGAATTCTGGATATGCCACAACCACAAGGAGTTGGTAAAAGGTGCCATTCAGTGTGTGAGGTGTCTTACCTTAGGAGACTTAGAAGAACAGGAATGCATTTGATATTGTCAGGAATAACATTTTAGGAAAAGCTGACAAATGTCAGCTGTTAACAATTTCAGAATTTGGGGGGGTTGTGTAACTACAGGTGTAAACTGCTTATCTAACAGAGTTTTGAAGAGAGGAATTGCATATTTGACAACAGAGATGGCAAACTGCTCCTAAACTTTTCTCTTTCAAGGTTTTCCAGGGAAAATTTTATTCAGCAGCACAGAAACTGGGAAAAAAGGAGTATTACAACAGAAGTGATCATTTGAGTAAGTAGTGAACAGAAGGGGCATTTCAAGTAAATGAACACTCCAGATTTCAGAATCTGAAATCACATTCCTTTAAAAAGAGCTTAGTATTTGCATATGTGTCTTGGGGAAAGTGGGAGGCAAAACTGTGAGTGCTTTGCATTTTTACATTCATAGGAATGGAACTGGGCAGTCCCTTATAAGATTTTCAAGCATAAAAATCATCAGTGCCTAACTTGTTGGAATTAATTTAGTGGAAGGCAAATAAATTCTGCATGTGTGTGGGTGTTTTTTTTCCTGGAAACCTTACCTCCTGGTATCTAATCTCTTTTTTTTGAGCATACCAGAAGAGTAGTGTGCTTCTTGCACTGTACCTCTTGGATTACATATAGGAATTTGTGACAGAACTTGAAAGCTCTTCACTCTTCTAATGCACTTGTATAAAAAAAAAAAAAAATCTTTCCTCCAGGTACAGAGTCAGGCAGTCAAAGCATAAAAGAGACTGCAAATAATGAACCAGCTATTGAACTTAAAGGGAACACACATACAGCATTGGAAGCAGCAGAATCGTGGATCCAAAGCGTGGTACAAATTCAGGAAAGTCACCGTGCTATTATTGAAAACAACTACATTTTTAGCCTCGGTAAAAACGAGTTTGCAGAACTATCTCAAGAGTGGCATTCTAGTGTATGTGTATCAGAAGAAGTGCGAGGTGGAAAAGCAAGACTGGAATTTCAGGGCCCCCCTGATGCTCTGATTGAAGCAGTGCTCGCAACTGAAAAATTACTGCTTCGTATGCAAGAGAAGACTACAGCCAAACAAGAGGAACTGCTGTACTTAATGGGTATGTAAAGTAAATAAGTGATTAATTAAGTAAATAAGCACCTAAATAAGGTCAAGTATGAAGCAACATATATCTGTGTATTGCCGAGAGTGGACAGACGTGCATTCAGTTCACACACATACTGAGCATTGCTTTGGTTACCGATATTACTGTACTTTTATCATATGAGCCCCTGAAAGAGCGTTTGTTAGCTTTGGTTACTCACTTGGCAATATTCCCAGTAGGACACAGTTTATATAGGGGCTGGCCATTGTTGTACAGCTACCTGTAACACTGGCTTCCTCCAGGACAGCTTCACTTTAAAGCCTGGCCGCTGGAGACTTACAAAATTTGCACCTGAATTAACACAAACCTTTGCTGAGCTCTTTTGCTAGCTACAGCTGGACCACTGTTGCAGGACCCATCAATGGATTTGTTCTTCAGAGCCCTTGACTTTCACTAACAGTGGATAGAATTAGTGGCATTACAAAAAGCTACCGAGTGATCCATTTTTCCTCGTGTTTGTATAGTCATTCAATATAGATACCATTATATGAAAGTTGGGCTGTGGAGAGATGTAATGAAGAAGATAGATAAATTGCTTTTCTGTGATTCTCTCTCTCTCTGGTTTCTTTAATAAATGTAGAAAAAAATGAATAAATTAATATATATCTCTCAATCCCTCTCTATATTAGCCTCTGGCATTACTTTGGAGAGTATTTAATGTTCTTTGTTCTTACCTAAACTACCAAACTAAAGTATTGGATCCCTCCTCCTTGCCTTTGCTTCAGATATTATGATGCATGAAAATTTTACTCCCTCATTTGTATCCAGGCCAACCAGAAGCAGGTCAGCTTTCGGAAGGACACCATCACAGGACAGATATTACTAAACGCGTCCAGATTTCACTGGTGGAATCACACCTTCAGGAGTTTAAAGACAGACAGAAACAGTTTGAAAAAGCTGGGCTTTGTGTTCTCAAGGTAAAGAGGCTATTCATGGAAAAACTGAATCTCAGCTCATATATTTGAACTAACATTTAACATGTGCTTAAAAAACTCAGATGAACTATTTCAATATATTGCTTTTAAAAATTAAGATCAAATCAGCCTCGTCCTTAAAATAGATGTAGTCTATTATAGATGTAATAAAAAGTATTTTAAACATAATGCAAATAATCACTCAAAAAGTGTGGTTAAATTCTGAGAAGTCCTTTTAACTGCACTGTGTATTCTGACTCTTACTTCATGCTTCAAATGTTCCTCTGTAGGACTCTAGAGAAATGAGATTGGTGTGTTAGAATGAGTACAATATCCAGGACACTAATGCAGTGTCTCTGTTTTGTTCTTGTGAGCTTGACACCAAAAATTAGCAACTGAATTTGTCAGAGTTATGATCTGATTAGTAGCGCATTGAAGTTGGGATCTTGCTTGGATATCAGTGTGTGGTGGGTTGACCCTGGCTGGACACCAGGTGCCACCAAGCTGCTCTGTGACTCCCCTCCTCAGGAGGACCGGGCCGGGGGGAGTAGAAAATAAGATGGAAGGAAAAAAAAACCTCATGGGTCGAGATAAAGGCAGTTTAATAAAACAAAAGCAAAAGCCGTGCACGGAAGCAAAGGAAAACAAAAGATTTATTCTCTACTTCCCATCAACAGGTGATGTCCAGCCACTTCCCGGGAAGCAGGGCTTCAGTATGTGTAGCAGTTGCTCCAGAAGACAAACGTTGTAATAACGAATGCCCCCATATGGTGTGGAATATCCCTTTGGTCAGTTTGGGTCAGCTGTCCTGGCTATGTCCCCTCCCAAGATCTTGCCCACCCCAGCCTACTGGTGAGGGGGGGAAATGTTGGAGAGACAGCCTTCATGCTGTGCGATCACTGCTCAGCAGTAGCCAAAACACTGGTGTGTTATCAGCACCTTTCTAGCTACCAATACAAAGCACAGCACTATGAGGGCTGCTATGCGGAAAATTAACTCCATCTCAGCCAGACCCAGCACACAGTGCTTTACTGAAAGGGAGGAGGATGAGGCTGTGCGACACAGAGAAATATGGAAGTTTGTAAACAGGGATTTGTGTGCCTAGTAGTAACAGAGGGTAACTGGAAACCAGACTGCCACGTGCCAAACTGCCTTTCATACGAGAAAGATATTTAACATTGAAATAATAGCAAATACCAACCCGATGAAAGCAAGTGCTTTTTGATCTGCAGAACTAAAGACTTTGTTGAGGCTCAACACAAAAGCTACATCAGGATTTAAAACAGTGCTGCACTGAGGATCGGTCATAGCTCAGTTAAATGACTTTTAACAGAGCAAAAGCTTGATCGCGCTTCAGCACCTGCTTGTTTTTAGCTGAGCAGTCAGAAGTCTGGCATGAGCACATTGCTGGAGAAGAGGCCTTGCGGAGCTCTGGTACTGACTTTTGCCATAGGACTGTGACTGGCCCACGGGTCGAGTCGGGTACAGGAGCGAGAGCTGCAGCGTAGCCAGTTTACCTGAAGTTCTGTGTGGCGTTATGCTCCATGCAGCCACGCTTTCGAGACACAAGCTAACGTAAAGGCCCTCTTACCTATGGATCTTTTTTTCCCCAAGAGCTGTAAAGTTTTGATCAACGAGAGCTGAGGTTTTCCACGCCTTACAGGACACTCGCAGTTCTTTACAAGATTAGGCTGTAAGCACCCACACAGCTTATTCTCACGTACGGTTGATACTCAATCTGTTCAGCACAACTCAAGTACTGGAAATCAGTACACTAGGATATATTCCCACCGATTTCAATGAGAGGCATGGGACAGTGGCATGGTTCTTTTCCTGTGGATCAGTTGCACACTTCACATACCTTATCCACTACGTGGTCAATGCATATAAGCTAAATCAAAGGTTCTTACATTGAAGAACATAGCCGGAACAACAGCACTCGTGGATTTCATGGATATTGGTCTCCGTTTGCTTATGCTACGCTATCATTTATGTTACAGATTGAGAAGATACATAATCCTCTTTTATCTGCTGCATTCCAACAAATGAAAAAAAAAATAGAAGAAAAACAAGGTACCTCCAAAGTAACCCACAAGTTGTACCAGCATGTTCCTGCTCAGTTCTGCAGCTCAGTGTGCCAAACTGGATTTCACAGGATGTACTCACCACCAACAGGTAATAACTTGCTTTGGCATCTTTAATCAAAATGAACAGTGACCAACTACTAAAGTTGGATTAAAATCAGAAAAAATGGCATTCCTAAACAAGAAGTGTTTCTTACATGCATTTAGAGTCATATGAGCTTACTTTTTTACCTACAATAAGATTTTCCTGTTTTTCCTTCCTGATACTGTAGAGTCAGTAAGGCTCCAGGAGGATAAGCCTGGATTCTAGCCTAGCCCAGACACAACATGTTGACAGAATTGTTAATATACACATAATGCCATGTCCAAGTTTTATTTTGTTGCATCACCCTTTCAAGAAAGACAACATCCTTATTTACTTGCTGCAAACATGCATTCAGCAGCTTGATGCTTTAAAGCACGTTCAAAGGAATCACAGAATAATTGAGGCTGAAATTAGGCTACTACATCTAGCCTAACCCCCTGCTCAAATCAGGTGCGATCAGAGACAGCAGATAATCTGACTGAGCAGGCTCCCATTCAAAGAGTTAGGAAGAAAGTTGTGGTGTCTATGAAATATTGTAGTAGGCAGTGCAGTAGACAGATGTTTTCAGAAATGGAAAGAACAAGCATTTGGCACCTCATCCTGCAATAGGTGAAGGGCGTAGTATTTTGTTTGTCAAATGCGGAATTGGGATTTCAGGCAATAAACTGTTCAAAAAGTGGAGATTTGCCTTTCCTTGTCTATGCAATGTACGTGGCACGTTTTCACACTTTCAAAGTAATAAATAGGATGATGGTCTAATTTCATTTATTTGCGCTTTTCCATGTGATACTGTAATAGCATTTTTATGCAGCATTCTCCTTATAAATCCCAAAGCTTTTTTTGTAGTTTGCGTTATTAAAAACTTACCTTCTTTGGTGCTTATCAGAGTCCCTAGTACATGATGACAGAGGTGTTTATATAAATACATTATACCTTGATGTTTCCATCACTGGAGTAACAGTTAAATCCGAATGGTCATCGCTGGAGTAGCAGTTAAATCGGAATGGCCATCAGCTGTCATCGCTCATGATTTCAATGGGAGGTCAGTGCTAGCATCAGAGCCACTTAATGCAAATTTACTTCCAAAAGGATGGCGCACATTGAGCAGTAACATAAAATGTAATACTGAATCACGAAGTAGTCTCTTAGTACTACCACCCCAAAAGAACCAATTATTAAAGGCTTTTTTTTTTTCTTCTGAAAATTTTTCTTTCTTTTTCCAGAACAAAAATATGGAGCTGGCATCTACTTTAAAAGGAACCCGAAAAGCCTAATCGAGCGTAAAGATACGTGGGAAACAGACTCTAAAATGTACGTGTTTGAGGTTGATGTATTAACAGGCTTATACACTAAAGGGAAGCCGTCCTATATTACGCCACCGGCAGTGGAGGGGGATGCCATTAGGGTATATGACAGCTTAGTAGATGATGTAAACAATCCTGACACCTTTGTCATTTGCAACAGCATTGGGGCCCTTCCACAATATTTGTTGACTTGTTCCCAAGTGAGGGAGAGGTATGTGGCCCTCTGAGGAAACCAGTACCATCCTGAGTAAGAATTAATCAGAACTGTAGCTATTGTGAAGACCCCCTCAGAACAAAGTCTAGTACTTAGATTTTAAGAGGATGTTCTACCTAGTAACATGCTGTGATCAAAGTGCCTTGTGCAAAGTGCTCTGGGATATCTGTGAACAAAAGAAGTAAGTCAATACCTTAAGGAGATTAGAAAACAAACTATCTGTGAATGGAAAGGGAAGGGAAAGCATCACAACATACAGTTTAACGTTTATCTGGTCATTTACTTTATGCCTTAAAGTGTTCTGAGCGTGTGACTATACACTTGATGTTTGCGTAGGTTGTCATTCTTCCATTACATTTTCTTAATCTGAGATATTGCATATATTAGTGAAACCCAAAAAATCTTGGTTGTGCCTTTGATTCTTAAATTTTCTTTTGACTTAAATAGGTGAATGTATCAGGTGAAAGCCGTTTCCCACTTGGGGACATGCTATTAAATACACATAGTTATGACAAATGTGAGGCAATACTTCATGATTTCTAACAGTAGTTGCTGTTACAGTTTTTATTAGTTAAGAGATTCCGAGCATTGCAGATACATGTATTCAAAATAAAAAGTATGAATGATACTGTCAGCTAACCTGTTATTTTTCCATATAGTCTTAAGAACGTGACCTGGACTGTATTTGAGCTTCAGATTTCTCAGTGGTGTTCAATCTCTTTGAAAGGCTACAAAATAGTAGAGAACTGGTTCAAGCTGCAGCTTGAAATTGCTCTTCAATTAATCTACCTTTACCAGTATCTTTTAAAGATTGTGTCCACTGTAGATATCCCCACATTGCTTCTGTAGTGACCTGAAGCCAGTAAACGGACAAGCCTGAGCTATTTTACTCATTTCAATATAAAAGGGGATTCAGTCCAGCTCTCAGGTACTTTGAAACTTTCTGTACTAAAGCCTGAAACTGTCTTGACATTAGCAGGGTTTAAAACAAATTTATTGCCCCAAACTAAAGGCTACTACCAGATTTGTCCAATCTGAAGCGCTTAAAACCACTAGTTATGGCCCTAACTAAACACCCAAACGGCTTATAACAGTGCTGTAATACAGAAATAAAGGCTCATCTGTCAAGATCACTTCTGCTTCTAGATTGAAAAGTCATCTGTGGTTAAAACTGTAATTATCTGGGGAGAAGAAAGGCTCGCATAAAACTATTAAAAAATGACGACATTGTCACATGAAAACCATTTCATCCACATGTAAAGCACTGTGCTAAAGGAGAGCAGTCTGAACCCTAAAACATAGATGAAATTAGCGTTCAATAAAACTTTTCAAAATAATTGATTAATGAATTCTCAGCACACTTGTACTGCGCCTGCAACTCCCAAGATAGTAGTCATAGTGCTAGGAACCGCTCACGAGTCCAAAAGAAAGTAAGTTATAAAAGTCTAATTCTGAACTCTAAGTGAGGTTGCAAGTGGAAAAATTTTTTTGTACCATTGCAAAACAAACTTTTAAATGAATATAATCATATTTTGGGTTTGGGTTTTTTTCCTTAATTATTTTTAAGATTAGCTGCGTCTACATTGTTGCAAAAGGGTAGCTTTTGTAGTGTGTGAGCCTACGCTCTAGTGTAATGTTAAATGGGAACCCCCCCCCATGAACTTGGAAGAGCCATCTAACGTATACGAGTCTTGTTCTCACAGAAATCCCAAGGTTGCTTTTAGATAGTATGCTCAAAGTTTGAAAACAGAATCGGTCTATTTCTATTTTAACTTTTGCATTTAAGCAACCAATTCTTCTCCTCTATTTCTGTCCCATTTTTCCTCATGTTTCTTGATTCACACATTACTGCCAGGAAGACACACAGCTGTAGATTTAAGGTTTGTTAGGCAGCATTGAACAAGAATAAGCTCTTATTTCAGCTTGCTTCAAGAGGTTTCATTTTTAAAGGAGTTTCATGGCAGAATTTTTTTTTTTGTTTTCTTTTTTGAAAAAACTCAGTAGATGAGTTTCTGAACTACTGCAACAATTTCTAACAAGCATCAGTTTTCAGAAAGCCTCAAAGAATTTATTTTGGCACAATGTAACATCTTTTCTCCTACTTGGAATAAAGGACAGGTTTCATAGTGCAGTATTATTTTAATACTGTTACACAAATGCTGGTAACAATGTATTTCATTATTTTTATTAACTTTGTAATTCTTAACTGCATTTGAAAAACATTGATAGTTAGTTTAATAGAAAAAATAATTACTGAGAAAATTTTAACAGCTTGCTTGAATGCCCAGCACGTGCTTCCTCCTCCCTCCACATACACCCACAGTTTATAAGGATTCAGTTTTACTGAATATTTATCTTGCATTTTATTATAGTGAGATTTTTTTCTAGTATATAATTTCTACTTAAGTTCACCTGTGCTCTCTGCACTTAGTGATATAATATATATTCTATATGTGTATATAGTTTTTTAAAAACTGGTAATGTAAGAGGTTGTATATAATTATTTGCATCTGGTCCTCAAAAAGAGTAATTTCATATACAGAAACTAGAAAATAAACCCAGCACAAACTAGATGTACCAAGTAGTACATATTAAAATAATTACCACAGTAATTGAAAATTCCTGATCTTAGTCCTACAATAATCAGCTCACTAGAGGCTACTCCACAGCCTCTGGGATTTCTCTGTCATCCACAATAAGGGTATGAATAATTCCTTCCTTTCGTTTTCCACTACTGACAGCCTTAATGCAACAGCTGTGACCACCAACACTGAAGTGAGTTTCAGTCCCATCTTCTACAAATTCACCCTGGGAGAAAGGAGACAAGAATAAAACCAGACACGTGCTATTTTAGTAAAATAAAAGCTTGAGTGCATCAGACTGTTTCCAAAGTCAAGATCGCTTGTGGTTCCCACAGTTAGTGCAGCTGCAGGTACCTGCGACAAATACAGTGCAAATGCTGAACAGAGCTGCGGAATCTCAGATGGGGCTTTGTCAAGGCGTCCAGTTAAAGATTTGTGGGTGTTAGATGACAATCAAAATTTCACATAATCAGAAATGGTAAAGTTGGAGTCTGTGGATTAATATCGTTGATCCACATCAGTAACACAAAAATAGAAAAGGCTCGCAGTTTCCTTCCAAGTTGTGCAGTACAGCCAGTAAGTACCACACAAACCTGCGCTGAGGTGGCAGTAAAACGTGAAGGATTTAGTGGTACCTTCTACAGCCGGACAAAGCAATCCCTGAATTGAGTATAACAGTTGTGTATTTTGGATACGCAGCTCCTGCTGCAGTTGTGTAATTTCCTGTTATGGATTTTGCCACACATGGCTGTGTTTTTGTCATCATCTTTGGGAGAGTAGAAAAATCTGTGTGCCACTCTAATGCAAACACAGTTTGACAACTAAACCCATACTTGTAGTGTGCAAGAATATCTCCTAGTGCATTTATTACATTAGAGAAAAGGCTGAGAACCATCAAGAGCAGAAGTTCTGATTCACTGAGAGAGGATGTTTCTTCCACTGATTACCAAAGAAACATCTGGTGAATCTTTTCATCCTATTCTCAAGTACAGCAAAACTGTTGATTTCACAATTTGTACTCATCCAGGGGATTACTTGTGGCAGCAGAAATCACAGTGACAAGTCTCGGGCAAGAAAGCACATCCTTCAAGGATGGGGAAGCCTACATAGTATGCATATTGACAGCCATCATAACATAAAAAGATACCAAAATAGATTAAGCCTTCTAGCTGTCAACCTGCTCTAAAAATTAATGCAGATGTGACAGAAAGACAAAAGATTTTATTTGTTCCAACGAGACTGCTAAGCCCTAAGTGTTAGGGACAATCTCTAGATGGAAAAAAAATCATGAGTCGTAACAGGCTGCATGTGTTCAACGTTCAGCCACCACTAACACGAGCAGGTTTGGATGAGGTGGCTCTACACTCCGCATCAAACTCAAGTTCCTCCCACTCCCCTGAAAGTTTTCTCCCTAAAAACCCTGGACAACTGACCCAGATTTATTTTGCTTGTCTAAAAAGCATAAACAAAAGCATTGTTTATCCTTAGATAGACAGATGTTTGGCATCCTAACTGAAATACTGTCAGCTGTAAAATACAGTGAAGGACATTTGGAACAGACTAATAGCGTACTGGCTGTCTAGGCGTATGCTCATACTCTGTGGTAAAGCGAGGTAACGTGCCCCTCTGTGGCTTATTTTGCTAAGCTTTGGTTATCTAGCCATAGCCTGTGAAAAGCCTTTGGAAATGACCACGTACCGCTGTTTCCATTTTTTGACCATTGCACCACACATCCATAGTGTCCTTTTCTGTGAAGGAAAAAGAAAACAAAAAGTAGAAAGAACAAGATTTTTTTTTCCCCCCTACAGACAGGAAGATCTAGGAATTTTAAAAATTTACTGTTGAATTTTACTTTCAGTTCCCAAAAGTTGTTCCTAATTAGCCATAGTACCTGGGCTACAGGGTTTGTTCTTATATTGGAGAGATGGGAGGCTCTGTCATCAATGGGCAAACAACTTTTGCTATGAACATACATTTTTACCTCTCCCTAGACCTGGCTATTAACACTGGGTTGTTCTGAATATTGTCAGAGATGTTAAACTGAAAATCATTCTTAAACTGAAAATCTTGAAGACAGAAAAATGAAGTAATTTCTGGTAATTATTTGAGTGCTGTTTCAATGAAGCTCTAACATTTTTTCCAGGTTGGTTTAATTCAAAAGCAGCATTATTTAACATCCATCAAACTGTTTGTCTTCTTAAAATCTCCTTGAAAACCCAAGTACCACTTTAAATATGAATCTTAGCTTTTTTTTTCATTTGAAACAGAATATTCTTTCACTTCTTCCAGCACATCCTCCTTAAATTGTCCCATTACTGACACTGTCATCCACAGGACATCAGTAGAGAGCTGAACACTGCTTGCCTTTTAAGTAAGCATAGGGAGATTAAAAGTCTGTGAGGAGACTTATCTGTTTCTGGCATTAAAATTGTCTTTCCTCCCTGCCCCCCTTCATCTTAGGGCAGTTCATTCTGTTCTGAGGCTTAACAAGAAATCATAGCCCAAGATCTCTTGTCTTCAGGTCTAACCATACAGCAATACCTAAGTGAAAGTTTTCCCACTAGATGCCACAAATTCCTCAGGGGATCCCTTCGTCCCATCTGCTTGTAATGTATTTGGGAAAGGGGGGCAGAAGAGGTGTATTGCCTTGCTATTAAGAAAGTGAAGAAGCATCATCTGAAGTTTTTAGATTAAATTTGTAGTTAAGAAGAGATGCAGAAAAAAGGATGCTGATTAATCTATCAAAAATGTAGAATAACATTGTCGCACTTCTTCAGTTAAAGACTCCTTGACTTTGGCTTATGATTTTTGGAAGGAAAGCCTGGTTACCTGGTTAACAAACTTACACACACAGCGGGTTTGATCACATCGCAGATAACGCTTCTATAACATGCTTCACCTGGAGAACTGTCTTGCTAGGGCAACTCTGTGGATACAGAAGCCATAACTCCTTCCAACCTTTTTTTTTTTTTTCCTTTTTTAAATCTAGACCATGCTGCTGTAGAACAGAACACTGACAGCAGGCTCACACAGGTGTAACGAGACCATTATTTTTCAGACTGTCTTTGGCATCTGATTCCAAACTTCCAGACCACCCAGTATTTTACACTGCAACAGTGCTAGCCACTGAACTGTGCTTTCTCTTAATTACCAGTTATTAAATGCATACAAGTTTATTCAAAGGCAGCAACATGAAGTCACTCAATGTTTGCTTACCTAGAACAACTCTATAGTCCGTACCACCCAAGCTCAGTACCCAAGTATTGGTTGTTTTTGACCTGTTCTCCATATACTTCTTGAGGCTCTTTCCGTTGATCTCCAAAGTGTATTCATATGCAAAGCCGCTGACTGCATCAATGTTAATAGTAGCTTTTGTTTTGGCTGCTCCAACAGTGAATGTTTCTTTACCCACTAATTTAAACATCCATTCTTTTCTTATTTCTTCCTGTAGAATAGAACAAAGACAGTGGGTATTAATTGATAAACCTGAATGCATGTTTTAGTATAAAAAAAATTGAACTAGAACTCGGGAAACAGCTCAATACTTAACTAGCATTTCAGAATGAACAAATACACAATATTCTGTAGGTCTAGAGTGCCTCTGCCCAAGGACAGTAAAGCACTTCATGAATACTCACACCTTAATTGTAACTGAAAAAAAGAATGATGCAATTCATTGAATTAGGTAAAGTTAATCAACTGAATATACCTCACTTGCATTTATTAGTCTTTTGTTTGTTCTGATGCCTGTTGCATGGAAGTGCACTTATATAATCTGTATCATAGTGAATTTTGAGCACATTTCACCTTTCCATCAACATAGACAACACGTTTTCCTGAAGTGGTCCCATGTTCAAATTCAATCTTATGAACACCATCACTTAAAGCTACTTCCCAAACAGCCACCAGATCTGTCATCTTCTCCAAGTGGCTGTACCGAGACCTATGGAAACACCAACAAAGTACATTAATTGTCGTTGAAAGAGTTCAGTTACTGATGTCTACAGTTCAAAGCTTTACCGCTTCAGAGCAAGTCGCTTTTTACAAGTGAAAAATGAGACTTGAAATAAGAAGCTTACAGAACTGCTTTTCATGTTTTTGAAACATTCAAATATGACACAATATCACAAAATATAAACAGACAGTTAAACAGATTCACTTTGACAAACACCATACAAAGACATCTATTTCCATCTAACCGCTAAAACTTCCATCTCAGGTGACAGTATGGTTACAAAATTATACTTGGAATTCAGACGCTCCTGGACAGTTCTGCAATTTCTTGGCAGGCGTTAAAATACAGTATTTTGATTGGTCTCTGAGAAAGCATTTTAGCCTTTTAGACTTGAAAACTAGTCAGGATGACCAGTTTAGTTATTATCTGTTTTAAGATTTGTCTGTAATCTTTCTCATAAACATTACCTACATCATTCAGAAATGCAACTCTGTACACACAAACACCCAAAGGGGAGGAGATCTGGCAAGATATCCTTTCATTTAAGTAATTTTTAAAGTTTAGATACAGTCATAAGTAACCGCTGGAACTGTGGATATCTTTCCAAATCTGCTCACCCACAGTTCTTTGTCTGTAATCTTTCTCATAAACATTACCTACATCATTCAGAAATGCAACTCTGTACACACAAACACCCAAAGGGGAGGAGATCTGGCAAGATATCCTTTCATTTAAGTAATTTTTAAAGTTTAGATACAGTCATAAGTAACCGCTGGAACTGTGGATATCTTTCCAAATCTGCTCATCCCACAGTTCTGATTTTTTACCTTACTTCATCTTCACAGACAGTAATCTCCTCACGGGATGCCATAGTAACCAAAATGGCTTTTAATCCAATTAGCAGCAAGAAAAAAAGAAAAGCAGAATAGCAGCATAGAAGGGTTGAGGCCTAAATTTTCCTCCTTTTCTCCATTTAAGATCAAGGACATTTTTAAAAAAGTGTCATGAACTATCATGCACTGCCATACAGATGATGAAATACAAACATAATTTTTCCTCTTAAAAAGGCAAATGTAAGTATTCTTTTACAAAATTAGTAAGTGCAATTTATCCTAACTTTATTAGCACATCATAACTTTGTCAGTTATTTGATGGAAAAATGGCTTGCCTAACTTGTGAGCAAAAGCTTAGAAATGGACAACTTGACCAAAGCAGGAACCACGTCCAGAGCTGCCCATCTCAGTCACAAACCGTAACAAACTAGGGACTGTTGCCACCTCAGGGAAGGTGAAATTGCACAGGCAACAATTTCAACTTACTTGTTTTTCTAAACCACCGTAGTAGTTTTCAACAATTGTATTAGCAATTTGACCTGGCAATTCAGTCACAAAGTCTATGTGAACCACAAATAAATCACTTGTTTCTTACTTAGGAGGTTTTTAGACCATGACTGTGTTTTACAACACTGCTGAGTTATTTTTAATTTATTATTTTCACTAAACAAATGAATTTGTTAAGAGCTATCTGCATTGTCTGTGCACATCAACAAGCATAATTTAAGTAAGTGCAAATAAGTGAATTTTTGATAAATTGTACTTTTCAGTGAAAAATTAATTAAAAGTAAAGTTGTAAGTTCTAGGGTCTCTCGTCAGCATAACAGAGGAGTGTGCATTTAAAAATTAAACCTCCTTCACTCTATCTTAAGCTTCTATTTTAAAACATGCTCAAGTACACTGCTGTATTATTGTCCGTGGTTTTGTCAGTAATTATACACATTTCTGTTCATAAACTGAAAAATAAGTTTTAAAAACAGTGAAACCGTTTTAAGGATCTAAGGATTTAATTCTCACAGTAGTCAGCAGTCTACACCACCTAATAAATGCCAAGGAGATTGTTTTGGTTGTTCCTAAAGTTACGGGTCAATCTCTGTGAAAGCTCGCATCCCCTGGCACAGGGTGGATGTCCGGCGGGGTGTATTTCTGCGCTTCCCCCTACCCCTTCTCGTCAAAGGAGCGGGTGCCAGGGCCTCAGGACAGACCCAGGCTTGTCCCTGCCAGGTAACCGACACTAAAAGTGGCCTCGGGCACAAAAAGAAATGCCAGAAGAGGTGGCACCTGGAGCATGCCTACAGCCTACCCACAGAGACTGCATCGCCCCCGGCAGCACGCAACCCTGCTGCGTGAATTTTAGCAGGTATTTTAGGATCGATGCTGCAAGGGTTGGAAACATCCCAGGACACACAGTTTCTGGGGTTTGGGTTTTTTTAAACAAATCATGGCAATGTGGTAATACACTTTTTTTTTTTAATCAAACCCGAACTCAAACTCTAGGCCAGCTTTACGTTTTCTGAAGGAGAGTCTACACCATCAGAGTCCAAAGGGAAAGCCGTACACTGCTACGTGACAGGAGATGCCTGCCGCAGAGTTAGCCCTCAGACTCGCTGGCTCAAATCCAGAGAAACGGATTTGTACCAACCGCCGACCGTCTCATTTCACTGCATTTTCTGTTAATCAAGCCAGCAGCCCAAAATGAGATTTACTTCTTTATTCATAAGGACTTGTTTTGAAAACTAGGATAGGATTACCGCTCTGCATCCACCTAATCCGTGCCTGGTAGCAGACAGCGGGGGATGGTACACTAGTATATGAACTCCAGAGACGGCAAATTTCTCCCCACCACCCACGTTTATTGCCAGCAAAGAGGTTTTTTTAAATTAAGTCCTGACAGCCACCTCTCCAAACCCCTCATCAAACAGCTTATTGCTGATCGCCGCGATCCTTCATACCCATACCAGTGAGAACACCCGACCCCTCTCTGGGCCCCGCTGCCCCCCGACCGGCTGGCCCGGCGGCGCCGGGGGAGGTTTCGCGGCACGTCCCACCCCTCCTCCGGGCCGGGCCCGCGGCAACAGGCGGAAGCACACGCCGCCGGCGACGCGGGGTGTTTCCTCCTTCTCCTCCTCCGCTAGCGGCCAGGCCGTCTCCCA